TCTCACTTTCATTCTCTCTATTCAGCAAAGGCATGTACCCCCTAACAAAAACTTTAAAGAGAGAAGAGAAAAGGCATACAGTGTTTTAAAAGAATTATTGAGATTTATTATTGTTATTTTAAAATTTGTTTTAGAGCACAGGCACTCACCGGAAAGACACACAGGGAGAGAGAGAAGGAAACCGTAAAAGCAAGCCATCAGGTCCAGGAGTCAAACCGCCACCGACCATGTGGGTGTCCAGCACCTTAAGCAACATGCCATCTGCTGGCCCTGGCATACAGGGTTTTGGTTTTGGTTTTGGTTTGGTTTGGTTTTTGCCATAGGGCACATATACTCACTGGAGAGAGAGAGAGGGAGGGAAAGTGAGTACTCTCCTCCAAGGAGGATAGCCACACTGCAATCCCTTCTCCATTTTCCTCTCAGGATTTTGGACACATGCCTGGCATGACTTTCAAGCTGCCGGATCCAGGACCTGAACCATAAAGTCAGCCACGGGAGAGTCCAGCACCTTAACCCCCATGCCACCTGCTGCCCTCAGTACAGATTTTTTTTTTTAAGAACTATTTATTGGGGCCAGCAGGTGGCATGCGGGTTAAGGTGCTGGACTCCCACATGGCCAAGTTTTGAGTCCTGGACCTGGCAATTTCCTTTCACACCTTCTGTCTCTCTCTCTCCGTCTCTCTCTGGTCAAAATAAAAATAATGATGATGACGATAAACAAAATTGTTAAAGGAATTGTTTATTTAATTCCATTTATTTTATTTTTAAATTTGACCAGAGAGAGATAGAGAGAGAGAAAGGGAAAGGGAGAAAGCAAGCCGCCAGGTCTGGGACTTGAACCGTGGTTGGTCATGTGGGAATCTAGTGCCTTTAACTGCCATGCCACCCCCTCCACTCCCAGATTTGTTTTAATACACACATATGTACAAAGGAGACAGACAAAACATGAGAGCACTCCGAGAAGAGGCCAGATTAGGTATGGGCCAAATATTCTCGGAAAGAGGACGTGTGTGGGTGCAGGCCATCTCTGAGTACATGAGTTTGAGGGGAAAGAATGCTTAATATTCAGACAATGGGGACTAAATGACTTTCTTGGATGGGCGTGGGAGACTGGTTCTTGGACAGCATGGGAGACAGACGTGACAGATGACAAACTCCGTGCAGGTGTGTTGACATTCCTCAGCCTTCTTTATTGATACGCTTTGTTAATGCCTCCGCGGGGAAGCTCCACCGTAATTGTCCTCTTTGGCTGGCCCACTCTACAGGCTGATAATGGACTGTCAGAGCAAAGCCCTTCCCTGGGAACACTTTAGGAGAGAACGAGAATTAAAGATGATTAAGAGGCAGGGGGCCAAAAAGGTCTGTTGAGAGACTTTGGTTGTGAGGCTGTTTTCTCCTCTTTCGCATATCAAAACGCTGGCCGTTGGGGTATCCGTTTCTAAGTTCCAGTAAGACCTGAATTGTTAACTCATTTCAATTTAAAAGTTGAAGCTCTATGCAATATTTTTCGGTCGAACATGATTTTGTTGTTTTGGTAGGACTACATGTCACTTGAACTTGTAACTATAAAATATGGCACAAGTTCCTCTCAAAGACAGCACACGGGGGGGAAAAAAGCAAACTATCTTAATCATTGTTATATTGGTTACATGATGAAATGATAATATTTTGGATGCTTTCCATTAGGTGCAATAATCATTCAAATGAATTGTCCTTGTGTAAGATTTTTTTAATGTGGCTACTAAAGAATGTGATATTACACAAATGACTGGTATTCTGTTTTATCGAGGGCATATTCTTTTTTCCTTTGGCTGCTAACTTCAGTTGCTGTGGTAACTAAAGGGGCCTCTGGTTCTGTGTTTCCTGGAAGGCCAGGGTGAGCTGGGGGAGGGGAGGTGGGACTTGGAAGATTTTCTTGGGTGGAACTCAATTGGAGAATACCTTCAGCTAAGGTTTGTTTCAGGTCCGGCAGTGTCGATCTAAATTCTAAACCCTCAACCCAAACCCTAATGGAAGATGCATTTCTTGCAGCCCACCATCTAGAAAAATTTTATTTCCCAAGCTTTTTTTCTCCCCACCTCATCCCCTCTCCAGGCAGAAAGGGGTTGCTTGACTACAAATTAATGGGCATTAGGAATTCGACTGTTGATAGAACCCCTCCAGCAAAGTCTTGATAGTGATCTCGCACTTACCCAACTATGTAGCCACAAGCTAAATTGTCTCGTTTTGTTTACTGTCACACTGGAGCCACTCTTCTCTCTCCCTCCGTTGTCCCTGAGCTTCCTCAGTTCCCAGTTTTCTTATTTTTTCCTATTTATCGCTTCAATTTTCTTATATAGCTTAGTAATCAGAGATTGATCTCACATTTTTAAGAGATTCAGTCCATGGATAGTAATCCTTCTCACTTGTGTGAGAATCAGCGCCCGTGTCCTTTTTAAAATGTTAAGTTTTCTTTATTTAATTCTTGAGAGAGAAAGAGAGAGAGCGCGAGAGCACCTTGGCAGTGGTGCCCCGGCCAGCCCTGGATCGCGGGCACACGGGCACCCTGGTGCTCAGGGAAACCCTTCCCACGTCCAACAGCCTCGTAGGCTTCAGGTTTTACTGAGTGCCACCACCCTGCCCTCCTTGTCTGTTTTTTTAAATGAACGCAAGGAAGCACTATACATCTCTTGAGTGTTGGAACTTTTTGCCCTCGTCTGAGGACGGAAGAATTGGCAGCTTTTCGCAGAGTACCTGAAATACGGTCCCGTGCTCATGCGAATTCACTGGATTTGATATTTATTCGATTTCTAGGTGCCGTAAGTCTGAGACTAGGAGCAAAAGGTCGCAGAGCTCAGAAGTGGGGACAGTCAGTTGGGTGAATGCCTAGTTAGGGAATTCGGTTAGCACCCCATAGGCCGGTCTCTGCCGGCAACCCTGGAGGGCTGGTCGCCTCCTAAAAATTGAGGTTTTCTTCCTCCCAGCTGAGAGGACAAGTGAGCCCACACTGGCCAGCTCCTTCCCGGGCCTGTTTCAGTCTGTCCTTCCCCCTTTTAAGTGTGGAGACCAAACTTACGGTCAAAAGCAGCTGACGGATCACACTAAGTCTCCCACCTACACTCCTTAGCACGCCTTAGATCTGTGATGGGAGCCCCCTCTCGACCCTGCCTACTCTCCTCTTCTCGTAGGTTGATCAATCCTAGGGGAGATGAGAGCGCAAACAGTGTATATGCCCGCCCTCCAAGCTTTTCTGGTAGAATTTTATCTGAAACCAAGAGGCTTCCCTTAGAAAAGGGAAGCGGTAAGGATGAGCTTTAAAAAAAAAAGAAGAAGAAGAAGAAGAAGGGGGGGGGAGAA